TGGTTGTGCTGTTTATGTGCTTATTGCACCTCCACAACACACTAAAATGGGACCTCAACGTATACTGGGTATTTATGTGGGGTTTGATTCACCATCTATCATTAGATATTTGGAACCCTTGATAGGTGATATGTTTACAGCTTGTTTTGCGAATTGTCACTTTGATGAGACAATCTTCCCATCGTTAGGGGGGAGAAAAGACCGTTCCAGAAGAACGAAAAAAGCTGACATAGGTTGTTCCCACATTGTCTCATTTTGATCCATGTACCACTCAATGTGAAAATGAAGTGAAAAGGATTGTTCATCTTCAAAGCATTGCCAATCAAATGCCAGATGCATTTAATGATGCTATGAAGGTGACAAAATCACATATACCAGCTGCAAATGCACCTGCAAGGATTGATGTCCCTGTTGGACAAAATAAAGTGGCAGCGAATGATTCATCTAGTGCACGCCTGAAGTGTGGTAGACCTCCAGGTTCAAAAGATTCAGCCCCTCGAAAGAGAAAGACAAAGGCACAACTGAATCCAAATGAAATCATTCAGGAAGAGAAAATGAATGACAAATCCACAATTCATGATTATGGACTTCCAGAAAAAGAAAATGTCCTTGATGAGACACATGTCCCTGAAGAGACAGTAGTACATGAGAGCAAAGAAATCTTCATAAATTATGCATGTACTAATGAATTGTGAGATCAGAATGAAATAATCATCGACGATATGTTCGCATTCGTAGTAGCCACTGAAATCATATTAAGTGATGATATTCAGCCCCACTCTGTTGATAAATGTAAACAGAGACAAGATTGGCCTAAGTGGAAAGATGCAATCCAGGTAGAATTAAATTCCTTGGAAAGGCGAAATGTTTTTGGACCAGTAGTCCAAACCCCGCTTAGTGTAAACCTTGTGGGTTACAAATGGGTATTCACAAGGAAACGCAATGAGAAAAACGAGATTGCAAGATATAAAGCACAACTCGTTGCTCAAGGTTTGTCGGAAAGACCTGGAATTGATTATGAGGAGACATACTCTCCTGTAATGGACGCAATTACGTTCCGTTACGCAATAAGTTTAGTGGTTTCAGAAAAACTTGACATGCGACTTATGGATGTCATCACCGCGTATCTATATGGAAAATTAGATACTGACATATATATGAAAGTCCCAGAATGACTTAAGTCGCCTAAAACAACTAACAAATCACGAGGTATGCTCTCGATCAAATTAAGGCGATCATTGTATAAGCTGAAACAATCTGGACGAATGTGGTATAATCGTCTTAGTGAGTATTTGATCAAAGAAAAGTATATCAACAATGTCATTTGCCCTTGTGTGTTCATTAAGAAATCTAACTCTAGATTTGTTATAGTGACAATATACGTTGATGATATGAACCTAGTTGGAACCCCTGAAGAGCTCAATAAAACTGCTGAATATTTGAAAGGTGAATTTGAAATGAAAGACCTTGGAAAAACGAAATTTTGTCTCGGCCTGCAAATCGAGCATTGTGTTAGTGGAATTTTGGTCCACCAATCAGCTTACATTGAAAAAATCCTGAAACGATTTGGTATGGACAAGGCTTATCCACTCAGCACGCCAATGGTCGTTCGTTCTCTAGACGTTAAGAAAGATCCATTTCGTCCAAAAGAATGATGAACTGGTCCTTGGTCCAGAAGTACCATATCTGAGTACAATAGGTGCTTTATTGTATTTAGCCCAATGTATTAGACCAGATCTAGCTTTTTCAGTCAACTTGTTAGCAAGGTATAGCTCTGCTCCAACAATTCGTCATTGAAATGGTGTCAAAGATGTATTGTGATACCTTCGTGGGACAATAGACATGGGTCTCTTCTACTTAAAGAACTTCACAAATGACCAGGTCTTTATTGGATATGCAGATGCTGGTTTTTTCTCTGATCGACATAAAGCCCACTCACAAACTGGATATGTGTTCAAGAATGGAGATACATCAATCTCATGGTGCTCAACAAAGAAAACATTAGTTGCTACATCTTCAAATCATTCATAAATACTTGCTTTATATGAAGCAAGTCGTGAATGTTCTTGGTTAAGATCAATGATCCATCATATTCAGAACTCATGTGGTCTAACTTTGAAAACAAATGATCCAACTGTCATTCATGAAAATAATGCAGCCTGTATTGCCCAAATGAATGAAGGATTCATCAAGGGCAATAAAACTAAACACATATCTCTAAAGTTTTTCAGTGCACATGAGCTTCAGAAGATTAAAGTTATTGAAGTAAGACAAATCTGTTCTAATGAAAATTTGGTAGATTTGTTCACCAAATCTCTACCAAAATACACGTTTCAGAAGTTAGTGCAAAGTATCGGATTACGTCGACTTTCCAAACAACTAAATTTTGAGAATGCGAAATCAGGGGGAGATATGTATCAGGGGGAGCATCCATGATACATGCATGTTGTACTCTTTTTCCTTCGATTAGGATTTTTCCCACTGGGTTTTTTCTATCAAGGTTTTAACGAGGCAACATAAGCATACTTAACACTATATCAACAATCTAGGTAAAGTTGTACTATTTTTCCTTCGCTATGGTTTTTTTCCCACTAGGTTTTTCCAAGCAAGGTTTTAACGAGGCAACTGATGTTGGTATGTGGGCATCCAAGGGAGAGTGTTGAAAATGTTGGCATTGCTATGAATGCCCCCCCCTACACACACATTTTCAATGCCCATATAGATTGAAGTTGACTTTAGGGATGCAAGAGATCATATTTTCCAAAAGGGTGCTGTAAATTTTCAATGTATAATTAATGCATCAATATTGGAGTTGCTCTATAAATAGAGCACTCCGTATGCTTTAAAAAATACAGACAGAAAGAAAGAAAGATCAATAACATCATTTATTCTTTCGTCTTTTATTTGTTATCCTCTTATGCTATAGTTTCAGTGTGACATTTTACACCTGCTTTGCTACATTCACTAAAAAGGTTATCCCTCTAACTTTTACATATTTATAACACTCTTACAATACAAATTTTTTTTGTCTCTATTTGCTTTCTCTCTCTCTATTCTCAAGTTGTGTAGTAAGGTTGCGAAGTAAAGATGTTTATCTAGTAAAATAGTGGTTACAAGGATAAAGTTTTTGAGGCAGGCACACTTTCAGTACCATTCTTTTGAGAACCTAGATCTCGATTAGAGGTTGATCAATTAAAAAAGAAACAAGATTCTCTAGTTGGTGAGCACGAAGACAAACACCCGACTCATCTCGTTGCGAGGAGCTTTTTAGCAAGCTCTTCACTACCTTGGTAGGGAAATTAGAACAATGTCCGCTTTGATTTCAAGACTTACTTTTAATTTGAAACCCTTTTAAATTTGAATAAGGCCCGGACCAAGTGCTTCCTTATAAAACAAATTGGCTGGGACCTTCTTCTTCTTCATGAATAGTTCTTTGATCATTTGATTGGATATAGTTGATCAAATTAGAATCGGAGGTCTGAACTCGAGTTTGTGAGAGACTCAATTATCATTCCACGTCTACAAGAAGAGAATAAGTAATAAATTTAACTTAGCTCTCTTGATTTCATTAGGAACCGTTTGATAATTATTTTATTTTCAATTTTTTGCTTTTATTTTTCACTCTTTAAAAACTGAAAAAGTGAAAACGAAATGATCTCATACGTAACTTAAGATAAACGCAAACATTACATGCTAGTTGTTTTATATTTTTACAATTTCTGTGTTCATACTACTTTGACATGCACTCTTCAAAGCCAATTCAACTTTAATCATTGTATGTTTCCTTCTCTTTCTTTTTTTGCCTAATATTTGTTAAATGAAGACTTTGTTGCCACAAAAAAAAAAAAGGAAAACACTGTTACGGATAATAATTCCAATGTGCATAACAATCCAAAATCCAGAAGAAAATATATATAAAATTCAGTAGTGTCCTAATCAAATAAAATTATGCGTTGTAAAACGACTACTTGGCTCCACTATATAATCCAAGATTGGGACACCCCTTCCTTTCCCTTCCGTATTCCGTAATGCCTCTCACGAAAAAGGAATGCTGGATTTTATTTATTATTATTTTTTGAATAAGAGATATTATCGACACTAAATGAGAAGGGAAGAATTTAGTCTCACAATGAGCTAATAATAATGTAGTACAAATTCACCTTTGGCGAGAGTCGGACCTAAGATATCTCACTTGTCAGTGAAAAAGAATATCACTAAACCATAGTACTAATGTCATATCTAATGAAGAGGGCTAAGAGTCCAAAAAACCAACAAATGGCCTGATTTTTCATAAAACTCATCTCCAACCAATGATTCTGCTATATTATGTGGATCTCATCATGCCATTATTTGGCCAAATAGCCATCAAATTGGCCAAATGTAGCCCTCCCTCTTGGTTTTTTTTGTTAGGACTCAGTTCTTCAGTTGCAATAATTAATTCAAATTCAATAATTATATTTGAAAAAAAATCCAACGGTACTTTAACTAAATTACCAATAAGTTTAAAGTATAAACTTAAAAATAATAAATTATTGAGAAGAGCTATGTTTGACTCATTCGGTTGGAGATGATATATGAGTATAGGCCGATGTTGTTCATTAAAAAATCAGTTTTTGCAAAATTATAATTCTAGATAGAGTTATGTTTAGTCATTTAGGATGAAGATGGCTAAGTAGCCGAAATATTGGATTTTTAAATTTTATAAAAGTAGAATGGACAATTTTATTAAACTATTAATTAAAATAATAAAAAGTGGAGTGAAGAGGTTGGACCGAATTTGAGGTGGCCAATGGTGTGGGCCCCCACATACTCAAGCCAAGGATTTGACTGAAAAACGGGGATACCCTGCCCACGGTCACGTCCCTTTTCACGTTATGAGCGCGAAGGCGTTTTGAGTCTGCGTCCGGGCAGCGGTCTGCACCGTTCGGGCAGCTCTCTCTCTCTCTGTCCCAGCTCTTTGCACTCTCACTCCACTCTCTCTCTCTCTCTCTCTCTCCCCTCTCTCTGTGTGCGCGCACGCTCACTCAAAAAAGGCGAAATTAGAAAAAGCATTAGAAAAAAACAGAGAGGGAGAACTATTAAGAAATAAGAATCCCACGCAACTGCTCAGGGGAGGGGGGAGAGAGAGAGAGAGAGAGCAAAAGGGGAAGCTAGGCGAAAATGGTAGCAGAGAAAGCGAATGAAATGGTTGAAAATTTGTGATTTTTTAACTGGTGGGTTGCTTTTGGTGGTGAGATCTTAGGGTTTTGAAATTGGTAGTGTGGGTGAATTTTGTGATTTGGGGAAGTGGGTAATGGTGGGTTTGTTGTTAGGGTGAGATTTGTGAGGTGGGATTTTGGTAATCTGAGTGAGTTGGGAGGGGATTTCTGGGATGGTGTGTTTGGGGGTGATACACCATTTGGATCTGAGACTTGTAAAAAGCAAGTGAGAGAGAGAGATGGAGAGAAAGGTTGGGAATTCAGTTTGTCTATGGTTCATCTTGTTGGCTCATCCACTATGGATGACAATGGTGCTTGCTAATATGGAAGGTCTGTACTTGTTTGCTTTCTTCAGCTGGCTTTACTTCAGCTGATTTTCCTTTTTCTCATTCTTTTTCCTATAGAATTTGTTATCTTTTTTAGTACAGAAAATTTAACTAAAATACTTTATTTTCTTGATATTATGACTTTTTGGAAATGGGTTACTGTTAGTGGAGTTTAGTATGCTCATTTAAACTTAGTTGCATACCTTGTACTGGGACTTGAAAGCCATTTATGAATCTTGAATATTTGAGTGTTTTCTTAAGCTTTTGATATGCTTAGAGAACTATTAAATGTAATGAAGTGGAAGCTGAACTTCAATGTGACAAAGCCTTGAAGAATCGTACTATTTTACGGCTTTTATCGGTGTTTCGGTTGTTACACTTGATTTTAAGTGCCATTATTTGATTTGCTAGTTATGGCCTTATGATGTGTGATTTCTGTGTAAACCTCTATATATTTTGTAAGTGTTATATGTCAATAAGACTTTGAGGGTAGTAGTTGCCTTCCGTAGTTCTGTACCCACAGAACTTTATGATTGAAAACCTAAATTCAATCATTTGTTTCTGCTTGTGATCAATTGTGGGGATCACGTTTTGCTTTGTATGTCAAGTCCCACAAATTCCACAAACTTGTATCTTTATGGAGTATATTTACTGCTCTAAGTTCTCACGCAATCTTTTTTTTTTTTCTGCATAAAGGTTTTATATTTTTTTCTTGATATTCTAGAATGGTGTGCTCTTTACTTTGTGGTCTGATATGTTATGCCGTTCTAGTGTATTTATGGCTTATGGTGAGCAACTAATTACTTTTCTTATTTTCGCAAACAGGTGATGCCTTGCATACTCTAAGGACCAACTTGGAGGACCCCAACAATGTCCTGCAAAGTTGGGATCCTACTCTTGTGAACCCTTGTACGTGGTTTCATGTTACATGCAACAATGAAAATAGCGTCATAAGAGTGTAAGCTTTCTCGCTCCTGACATCTTTAAAGAACATGCTCTTGCATCAATCCATTTGGGAAGAATAATCTTCATGATGCTTTGTTTTATGTGTAATCTCAGTGATCTTGGAAATGCAGCCTTGTCTGGTCAACTTGTTCCACAGCTTGGCCTTCTCAAGAATTTACAATATTTGTAAGTTACTTGGGAGTTTAATTATGCACTGTTGCTTTCATACTTTTTCTAGGTATTGTTTGTCCTAGTGGAGTTATTTGTTGTCCTGGTGGAGTTATACTCATTCCGTTTGCTTTGATACATTGTCATTTGATTTTTATGCATATGAAAGAACGTAGTTATTAGCTTAGCACATGGTGTAGCCTAGGCCATGTCAATCAGGTTGTTAGGGGCACAATATTCTCTCCATTTCGAAGATCTTTCATTTAGTTACTTCACTGGCAATACTAATACATGGAATTGGGGACATAGTTGTCAAATTGGTTGGAAACATGATGTGCAAATAAATTGAATTCCTGGAATAAATACACTTAGGTCATATAAACGTAAATCAAGCACTATGATGGTGAAGAACTTAGCCTGCACTTTGAATCTTTTCTAGTTTAGTTAGATATACTGGTATCTACTTAATGGAAGGACGAAAAGTTATGAGAATTTTAGAAATCTTAATGGCAAGTAGTAGGCCCTTAAACCTTGACTACGAAGGTTGGTGGTGAGTTGGGGCTTACTTTAAAGAAAAAGGTGGCACTGTGTTGTGATAGGTCTTCATTTAGATTTTTTTTTTATAAAAGAAAAGGTAAACAACATAAGGATTCCTAATTTATTGCAAATTATTCTCCTCAATTTTGAAAGTATCTTTAAAAATAACATTTAGACTTGTTGTTATACATTTTATGCCGCGGTGAAACATGATGCTTGATAGGTAGACAAACTTATGGAGGACATCTTGTTGATAGTGTAAATCAAGATGATTGCATAATGCATGGGGTAATGTAAATTGCTAACCATTTCAGAGAAAGTTGACATGTGTGGGGGAAGTAAGTGCAAGATTTTTTATCTGCCAACCGTATCTTGCCCAGTTAGCAGGATAACGTATGTAGTTGCATTCATCATTTGCAGAATCACACTTATAATCCTAATGAGCACTCGTGTTGTCTATTTTAAATGAGGTTTTTCTATGACTACTAGAACTTGTGTCTTTTATACCTGGATGAAAACTAAACCAAACCAGATAGTGACATGAACTACTAAATATATGGAAAACAAAACTAAACCAGATAGTGTCTTTGAAAGTTCTTTGTCGATACAGTTCTGGTAGCTCTCCATTTCTGAACAATGTGATGTGGCTGCATGTAGAGATCTTTCCCTCATTGGCAGTCAAGTTTATTCAGTTCACAGTATTTAAGTGTCACATGAGTATTTGTGGTAATATTCTCAAATTTTTCATCTCACATTCGTTCAGTGTTTGTGTAATTGTTAACAGGTTTTTTAGTTGCTTGTCATCCAGATCATAAATATTGTCTACCAGTAGCTGTGTTCTTTGATATTAAACTAGTTTCAGTGATAGCTAACTTGTTACAGCAGATCAAATTTGCTTTGAGATGTTCTTTGCAGTTGAGCCATGGGGGAAAGCCATATAGTAATAACATCTTTTGTATTGCCCAGACCCTGAGAATGTTGGTTTTTTTGGCAGATTGGAAATTGCTAATCAATACTATCTAGCATTGTTTTTTTTTTTTTTTTTTTTTTTTTTGACATAAACGCTTTGAGATCACAATCTAGATTTTTCATATCATTTGTTTGCCTGAACCATCTGATAGTATTGCACAGTTTTTCCTGAACTATCTATTAAACTTATATGTTTTTTTCCCTTTATGATAGGGAGCTCTACAGTAATAACATGAGTGGACCAATTCCTAGTGAACTGGGGAACCTAACCAGCTTGGTGAGCTTGGATCTTTATTTGAATAGTTTTTCAGGTCTAATCCCAGGCACCTTGGGCAGGCTGTCAAAACTGCGATTCCTGTGCGTATACTTATCTTTTACCTTATTTCTTTAATGCCCATGTTGTAAACATAAGTACCATGTCATGCGTGGGATTTTTGGTTAGTCATCTGAAGCCTTAGGACCTAACAAAGATAGTGAAAAAAAAACTGTGAACTGCAGTATTCTGTACATTTTTTTGGGTATAAAAGTAAAATTAGGATTTAGGGTTCCGTGAGCATAGAAACCCCCTGGGATGTTGATGGCATAAACGAGCCTAACTTCAATGTTAATGGTATAAACGAGCATAGAAAACATATATCAAATCGGGTGGTGGTATAAAATCACCATAATTATATTATACAAACAAGTGTACCACATTTCAGTTGAAAGATTAAGCGTATATAAACATTGTGCTTGTGCTGTTTTGTTAGACTAGCATAAAGTATTTATTTGTTGTCTATTAATGTTTCAAATGAGGAATATTCTTTGATTGACTGTAAATCTTACCATGTATTTTCTTCAAATCCTTTGTGCATGGATAGCCGGCTTAACAACAACAGCTTGGTGGGTCCGATTCCCATGTCTTTGACTAATATCTCTTCACTTCAAGTACTGTGAGTGCCAATCTGATCCCAGTCTCTCTCAGACATCACATCTCATGTTTAGTATTGTTCATTGCAAGATTCTATGCTCTGATATTGCTTTCAAAATGCAGGGATCTATCAAATAATCGTCTCTCAGGAGTAGTTCCAGACAATGGCTCCTTTTCTTTATTCACTCCCATAAGGTTTATTGTTAATATACAAACTTGGTTTTCTGACTCTGTTTTTTATGATTTCTGAATGACTTGTCCTCTCCCATTTGCAGTTTTGCTAACAACATGGATCTGTGTGGCCCAGTAACTGGTCGCCCCTGCCCAGGATCTCCTCCATTTTCACCTCCCCCACCTTTTGTCCCACCACCCCCAATTTCAACACCAGGTAATTGATCTTCCTGTTGTTAACTATTAAATTTCAGGGCTTTAGGTGATATGTGTAGCTTGTTTTCTTCCTGAAGCTACATAGCATGTCTTTGCCTAAAGGCACAACCTGGTCCTGGACTAGAATGTTTTAAGTTTTAACATCTATATGTAACCTGGTCATTATTGTTAATTTCACTTGCAAGGAGTTATCAGTTATGTTTATAGCAGTCGCAGTTTTATACATTACTTGAAAAGTATTTTTCATTTTCTTTTTGTTGTACAGTTTTTTTTTCTCTTGATATTTTCCCCTGGTTAAAAACGCAATTGCTGACCTGTGGGAGGCTTTATTGCATTCATCTCTGCAAAGGCAGGCATTGCATCTTTAGTTGGTAGATTTCTACATTTTACTTCTGGTCTTGTCATTTCAGGCTTCCAGAGTTTGGATCAACTGCACTATCTTTCTAAATTATAATTTTTTTAGTGAAGTATTCGCATGTAACCTTTTTATTGGGCTATGAAACTGTGTGTAGCTGGTATCTAATCTTTATTTCATCACATATCAGGAGGTAATAGTGCCACTGGGGCTATTGCTGGTGGAGTTGCCGCTGGTGCTGCTTTACTGTTTGCTGCTCCTGCAATTGCATTTGCATGGTGGCGCCGGAGGAAGCCGCAAGAATTTTTCTTTGATGTACCTGGTTAGTAATTTAACTGAAATATGAATCGCTTTCAGTTCAATAGTTTGTTTAAAAGCTTACCATCATCTCTTGCAGCGGAGGAGGATCCTGAAGTACATCTTGGGCAGCTCAAGAGGTTTTCTTTGCGAGAATTACAAGTTGCAACGGATAGTTTTAGTAACAAAAACATTCTGGGGAGAGGTGGATTTGGTAAGGTCTACAAGGGGCGCCTTGCAGATGGTTCGCTAGTCGCTGTGAAAAGACTGAAAGAAGAGCGCACCCCTGGTGGGGAGTTGCAGTTTCAAACTGAAGTAGAGATGATCAGCATGGCTGTGCATCGAAATCTTCTTCGGTTACGTGGGTTCTGTATGACACCAACTGAACGGTTACTTGTTTATCCTTACATGGCTAATGGGAGTGTTGCCTCATGTTTAAGAGGTATAGCTTCATTGCATTTTAGAACACTTTTATGATGATACTCTACTTTGGAAGTTTTCTTCGTCTCACTCAATGTGCTGTTTATTCAATTATAACTATAAAAAAAAACCCTAACACTGGTTTCCACTTTCTTATTAGTTACTTAATGCTCATTGTCTAATTATATGTTCTTTTTATATTCTTCCCTTTATTTATACATTATTCTAGAACGGCCGCCAAACCAACCACCTCTTGATTGGCCAACTCGGAAGCGAATTGCACTGGGATCTGCAAGGGGTCTTTCTTATTTGCATGATCACTGTGACCCGAAGATTATTCACCGTGATGTGAAAGCTGCAAACATTTTGCTGGATGAGGAGTTTGAGGCTGTTGTTGGAGACTTTGGTTTGGCTAAACTTATGGACTACAAAGACACCCACGTCACTACTGCTGTACGTGGCACAATTGGACATATAGCTCCAGAGTACCTGTCTACCGGGAAGTCATCTGAGAAAACTGATGTTTTCGGTTACGGTATCATGCTTCTGGAGCTTATTACTGGTCAGAGGGCTTTTGATCTTGCTCGCCTTGCAAATGATGATGATGTCATGTTGCTTGATTGGGTATGTATCTGTTCCATTGTTACTCATTTTTGTGAATTCAATTTGCTTCTGCCATTTTTGCTGTGATCCCAGCCGCGGTTGAACATTTTCTTGGGCTGTAACTGTGAACTTGCGTTGTAGCTTTTTATCCCTCGTGTAAAACCTGTAGAAACCAACAAGCTGTTTTCTTGATAATGATATCCAATCTTAGAATGGAGGTAAGTGCTATTGAGAGAGTATCAGCCTAGGTAGGGTAGGAATGCGTAATGAACTTTGCTTACGTATACTAATAAAATATGGATATTGAGACACCATAAATGTAAATTAACAAGGTGATAAGTGAGCAAGGGTCGCTGTATCTCCATCGGCACCCGGATGCAGTGTTAAATGAGCAAGGGGGCCATAGAAACTTCTTTTCGAACGACTCCACTCAAAGTTGTTTGGGAGCATATGCTCCTATCAACTTTACCCGGGACACACAAAAGAAGTACTTTGATCCTATTAGACGGGGGAGGGTGAAGAAGCTAGGACAGAAGGGTAGAGTTCAAGAGAGCAAAATGCGTTTAGGAACGTGGAATATAGGAACCTTAACGGGAAAATCTATGGAAGTAGTGGAAGTTATGGTGAGGAGAAGGATAAATATTATGTGCCTACAAGAAACTAAGTGGGTTGGTAGTAAGGCAAAGGATCTAGAAAACTCAGGGTTTAAACTTTGGTATTCGGGCACAAATAGAACGAGAAACGGTGTTGGCATCATCGTGGACAAGACCTTGGTACAAGATGTTGTAGATGTCAAGAGGGTAGGAGATAGAATCATGGCAATCAAGATTGTAATAGGACAAGAACTTATCAATGTGATTAGTGCGTACGCACCTCAAGTAGGGTTGGATACGAGTTCGAAGGAGAAATTTTGGGAAGATCTTGGAGACTTGGTGCAAGGAATTGCTCAGACGGAGAAGTTATTTATAGGAGGAGATTTAAATGGACACGTGGGCAGGGAGACAGGCAACTATGGAGGTTTTCATGGTGGCCATGGTTTTTGGGGAGAGAAACGAGGATGGGGAAGCTATCTTGGATTTTGCAATGGCATATGATCTCTTCTTAGCCAACACCTTCTTTAAGAAGAGAGAAGAACATGTGATCACCTACAAGAGTGGGTCGTCAAAAACACAAATAGATTTTTCTTCTAATGAGGAAAGGGGATCGTATATAACTTGTAAGGATTGCAAAGTTATACCAGGAGAGAGCGTGGCTAATCAACATCGCTTGTTGGTGATGGATGTACATATCAAAAGAGTAAGACAAAAGAACAAGACTTGGAAGTGCCCAAGGACTAGATGGTGGAATCTAAAGAAGAAAAAACAAGTCATTTTCAAAGAGAAGGTAATCACCCAATGTGTGTGGGATAGAGAGGGGGAAGCTAGCCAAATGTGGGATTCCATGGCTAGTTGTATCCGAAAAGTAGCAAAAGAGGTATTAGGAGAGTCCAAGGGCTTTGCCCCACACCAAAAGGAATCTTGGTGGTGGAATGAGGAGGTACAAACAAAGGTGAAGGCTAAGAAGGAATGTTGTAAAGCCTTATACAAGGAGAGGACCGATGAAAATGGTGAAAGGTATAGAAAAGCGAAGCAAGAGGCGAAGAAAGCTGTCAGAGAAGCTAAGTTAGCGGCTTACGACGATATGTATAAACGACTAGATACCAAAGAAGGAGAGTTGGATATCTATAAACTATCTAGAGCAAGGGAAAAGAAGACAAGGGACCTAAACCAAGTGAGGTGCATCAAGGATGAGGATGGAAAGGTTCTTGCTACAGAGAACGCGGTTAAAGACAGATGGAGAGGTTATTTTCATAATCTTTTCAATGAAGGACATGAAATGAGTGCTTCTTTAGGGGAGTTGAGTAACTCAGAAGAGTGTAGAAACTACTCTTTTTTATCGTCGAATCCGGAAGGAAGAAGTGGTTGTAGCTTTGAAGAAGATGAAGCATAAAAAAGCAATAGGCCCAGACGATATACCAATCGAAGTGTGGAAACTTTTGGGAGAGACAGGTATAACATGGCTCACTGACCTTTTCAATAGGATTTTGAAAACGAAGAAGATGCCAAATGAGTGGCGAACGAGCACTTTGGTGCCTATCTACAAGAATAAGGGCGACGTACAAAATTGCATGAACTATAGGGGTATTAAGCTAATGAGTCATACAATGAAGCTCTGGGGAGAGAGTCATTGAGCATAGATTGAGGCAAGAGACACGGGTTTCGGACAACCAATTCGGGTTCATGCCAGGGCGCTCAACCATGGAGGCAATCTATCTCTTACGAAGATTGATGGAAAGATATAGAGATGGGAAAAAGGATTTACACATGGTCTTTATAGATTTGGAAAAAGCGTATTATGATAGGGTCCCAAGAGACATTCTTTGGAGGATTTTAGAGAAGAAAGGAGTACGAGTAGCATATATCCAAGCTATAAAGGATATGTATGAAGGAGCAAAGACTGCCGTAAGAACTCATGAAGGACAAACCGAAAGCTTTCCCATAACTGTAGGATTACATCAAGGCTCATCCTTAAGTCCTTACCTTTTTGCGTTGGTAATGGATGAGTTAACAAGACATATTCAAGATGATATTCCTTGGTGTATGCTTTTCGCAGACGATATAGTGTTGATAGATGAAACTCAGGAAGGGGTAAATGCAAAGCTTAACCTTTGGAGAGAAGTGTTGGAATCTAAAGGTCTTCGCTTAAGCCGATCAAAGACAGAATATATGGAGTGCAAGTTCAGTGCAAATGGAGGCCAAAACGAGTTAGGGGTGAGAATCGGAGATCAAGAAATACCAAAGAGCGACCGTTTTCGTTACCTAGGATCTATCTTGCAAAAGAACGGAGAATTAGATGGAGATCTCAACCATAGAATACAAGCTGGATGGATGAAGTGGAAGAGTGCATCCGGCGTGTTATGTGTGACCGCCGTATGCCACTGAAGCTTAAGGGAAAATTTTATAGGACGGCAATAAGGCCGGCGATGCTGTATGGCACAGAATGTTGGGCGGTGAAAACATCAACACGTACACAAAATGGGTGTAGCGGAGATGAGGATGCTTCGTTGGATGTGTGGGCACACAAGAAAGGATAAGATTAGGAATGAGGATATCCGGGGTAAAGTAGGAGTAGCCGAAATTGAAGGAAAGATGAGAGAAAATCGGTTACGGTGGTTTGGACATGTGCAAAGAAGGCCTACTGACGCTCCGATTAGAAGATGCGACGATGGGACAGAGGTTCAGGGCCGAAGGGGTAGAGGAAGACCTAGGAAAACTTTGGAAGAGACTCTAAGAAAAGACTTAGAGTACTTGGATCTAACGAAGGACATGACACAGGATCGAGCACAATGGCGTTCTAAGATTCATATAGCCGATCCCACTCAGTGACTTGGATTTTCCAAGTCTCCAACCGAGAAGTTTTCCTCACTCGGAAAATTAAGGGAACACTACCCCAACCTACATGCTCCACTCAGAAAGCTTCAACATACAAGCTTCAACAAAAGAAAATTCAAAGAACTTAGCGAAGAAGGCTTTGGTGTATTTAACACAATACGTTGAAATGAAGGAAAGCTTATTTATTGATATCCCCGATAAGCTACAAATATGTACATATACATGAGTCAAAATAAACACACAAGAGGGAGCCTTCACAAAGGTTGCTTAGGAGAAGTCTCAGCAGTCGGTAGAGCCCCCAGAAAGAGAAGGCACCGGAGGGGGATCATTTGGAGCCTCAGTACTGGACAGAACCCTAGAAGGAGGAGGCATCAGAGGTTGATCATTTGGAGCTTCATTACGCGGTACAGCCCCAGAAGACGAAGGCAATAAATGCCTTTGGAACAAACCTACAAATCTCTGATGATCAAGTAAAACCTGACCATCAGTTTCCTTCATCTGGTCAAGCTTCCTCTTCATGTTTGTAGCATAGTCATGTGCGAGCCGGTGCAACTGTTTATTCTCATGCTTGAGCCCTCTAATCTCCTGTTTGAGACTCATCACTTCAGCCGCCAATGATTCAACTTGGCGGGTTCGAGCAAATAGGCGTTGGGCCATATTAGACACAGAACCTGCACACTGAACACTGAGAGCCAGCGAATCCTTAACAGCTAACTCATCAGACCGTTTGGAAAGTAGTCTGTTATCTTTGGGAGTGAGAAGGTTCCTGGCCACCACCGCAGCGGTCATATCATTCTTCATCACGGAATCCCCAACGGTAAGAGGACCAGTAGGGGAGACGAAGGATGGGCGCCATATGTTGTCTGGAGAAGGCGGGGCTGCCTCTTCAACAAGGTTCAAGTCAAAACGACGGTCGGAGGGGCCAGACATTTTCAAAGGTGTTGAAGAGAGAAGAGGTCGGACAAATCAAGATCTTAGAAGTGCAAGAATGAAGCTTCTACTGGTGGAGATTCAAGTGTGCTTTGGAACTTAATGTCAGCCCTTATAAAAATCTGCACTCGACGGAGCTTCAGAAATCGAAGAGGCGCCTGCTCAGAAATCGAAGAGGCGTTTGCTTTCTCAAAAGCTGGGCTGCTTAGAGATCACGAGGGTTGATCTCAGAAATCTAAGAGGCGTTTGCTTTCTCAAAAGTTGGGCTGCTCAAAGACCACGAAGGCTGGTCTCAGAAATTGAAGAGGCGCTCGCTTTCTCAAAAGCTGGGCTCCCCAGAGACCACGAGGGCCGATCTCAGAAATCGAAGAGGCACCTACTTTTCCAGCCTTGTCAGCACCTGTCACGCGCACACTCAGCTTTGCGGAAATTATGGGCATTCTGTCGAAGACTTCTGGGGAAGTAGAAAACACATGAATCTTACTGTTCAATCACCCACTTCCCACACGCAACAATAGCTCATGGGTACCACAGAAAACTTTGCCAAAGTTCTCTGCCAAAGTCGAGCACGTGAAGCTTGCAGCTCCCACTACATCGCTCTGACCAAGAAGGGTAAAAGAATAGCAAAGAAACAGCACTAACAAAGTTTAGACCCATAAATTTTGAAGGTCTAGCTACCATATTATTACCCACAAGGGTAAAGGAACAGTACCACTGCTGGATAATTGGACAGTCCCTGTGTGTCAACCTCTGTGTGCTTCGTGGCAAGGTAGACTAGCAAACATGCCCAACCTTTACTCACATTCGAGAAAACACTCCCAATAAGATTGCTTGCTCCAAAATCGAAGAGGCACCGTCCTCCCGAATCTCGAGAGCCAGACTCCCAACATGACTACTTTCTTAAAAATCGAAGAGAGGGTAAAGGAACAGTACCATTGCTGGATAATTGGGAAAGTCCCTGTGTGTCAAACCTCTGTGCTTCGTGGCAAGGTAGACTAGCAAACATGCCCAACCTTTACTCACATTCGAGAAAACACTCCCAACAAGATTGCTTGCTCCAAAATCGAAGAGGCACCGCCCTCCGAATCTCGAGAGCCAGACTCCCAACATGATTACTTTCTAAAAAATCGAAGAGACACTGCTCCCCGAATCTTCGAGAGCCAGACCCCCAGCGTGACTGCTTTCTCAAAAATCGATGAGGCATCGTTCTTCGAATCAATCGAAGAGGCGCTCGCTTTCTCAAAAGCTGGGCTGCTCAGAGACCACGAGGGCCGATCTCAGAAATCGAAGAGGCACCTACTTTTCTAGCCTTGTCAGCACCTGTCACACGCACACTCAGCTTTGCAGAAATTATGGGCATTCTGTCGAAGACTTCTAGTGAAGTAGAAAGCACATGAATCTTACTGTTCAATCACCCACTTCCCACACGCAACAATAGCTCATGGGTACCACAGATAACTTTGCCAAAGTTCTCTGCCAAAGTTGAGCACGTGAAGCTTGCAGCTCCCACTACATCGCTCTGACCAAGAAAGGTAAAAGAATAGCAAAGAAACAACACTAACAAAGTTTAGACACATAAATTTTGAAGGTCTAGCTACCATATTATTACCCACAAGGGTAAAGGAACAGTACCACTGCTGGATAATTGGAAACTCCCTGTGTGTCAACCTCTGTGCTTCGTGGCAAGGTAGACTAGCAAACATGCCCAACCTTTACTCACATTCGAGAAAACACTCTCAACAAGATTGCTTGCTCCAAAATCGAAGAGGCACCGTCCTCCGAATCTCGAGAGCCAGACTCCCAACATGACTACTTTCTCAAAATCGAAGAGAGGGTAAAGGAACAGTACCATTGCTGGATAATTGGAAAGTCCCTGTGTATCAACCTTTGTGCTTCGTGGCAAGGTAGACTAGCAAACATGCCCAACCTTTACTCACATTCGAGACAACACTCCCAACAAGATTACTTGCTCCAAAATCGAAGAGGCACCGCCCTCCGAATCTCGAGAGCCAGACTCCCAACATGATTACTTCCTCAAAAATCGAAAGAGACACTGCTCTCCGAATCTCGAGAGCCAGACCCCCAGCATGATTGCTTTCTCAAAAAATCGAAGAGGCATCGTTCTCCGAATCTCGAGAGCCAGATACCACAGACCACTTTTTCAAAGTGCTCTGACAGAGTTAAAACATGTGAAACTGACAGCTCCCACTACCGTGCTATGACCAAGCAGGGTAAAGGAATAGCATTACTACTTGTTAGGGAGACTCCTATATATGTCAACCTCCATCCCCAACGGACAGGCAGACCTGCAAAAATGCTCAACCCTTCATCATATCTGAGAGGGCACTCCCAACGAAGCCTTTCGAAATATTCAGCTTTCTTTCCCCCCGATAATACCTCTGCAAACAAGCTATACTAGAGCAAGAATATCTCATATCATCAGGGTTAAAAAGCAAGAGTATCCCATATCATGCTTTTTCCCTGTCTTTTCCTTTGGCCTTGTTTTTTACCTGCAAGACAAGGAGAAAGAGAGCAATCAGTCAGCACTTGGAATCAAGCTTCCAGCCAAGAACTGACTGCCTGGAACCCCTTACCTGATTACTTACCTGGCATTGCTCTCGAGTACTCATCTTCAACATCTTATGTTTCCAGGGAAGATTCTGCATCTGCTTGAGGAACAGATAGGGCAAGTGCGAAGGATACAAGAAAGCATGTGGAGACAAGCGTAACAGCACACGTCGTGCCGATACATCCATTACTCTGTCAAAAGCAAAAGTATCCCATATCAGCAGGGTGGAACGTACTCTAGATTTGATGGACTTGTTTTGACCCTCAAATTCTTCAGTCGGCCTTTATACTCTGGAGGAAACCAGAAAACCCTCCAGCTCAGTTCAAGAATAAGCCTGTGGAAAGTTACTTCTTCAAAAGCAAAAGTATCTCATATCATCTCTTCTCATTTTTCTTCTCTTTATCCTTCATGCTGCTGCAAGATGGGGAGAAGGTGAACAATCAGTCGGAGCTCTGATTGCTTACCTTGTCTGTCACCTCTTTCAGCAGACCCCCTAGCTCGGCGACTTGGGGGACTCCTACTACATGGTTTGTATCGCGCTTGACCAAGCCTGAAACTACAAGTAAGCTTCAAGTGAAATTGATACATTACCTTGTGCATCTCCACCAGTTAAAGATACCACCCCTGGATGGAGGAAGAGAGTACTTCCAGAGAAGATGCCACATCTACCTATGAGACAGATAAGGCAAGTCAAGACGACTCCACACTCCGATACTTAGAAGTTTCGTGATTACGAGATCATTCTCCCACAATATTTCTTAATGTCATTTGTACTAAATCATTCACTTGTACTCACTAAAGGAGAGCTTGAACCTATGTACTTGTGTAAACCCTTCACAATTAATAAGAACTCTTCTATTCCGTGGACGTAGCCAATATGGGTGAACCACGTACATCTTGTGTTTGCTTTCCTATCTCTATCCATTTATATACTTATCCACACTAATGACCGGAGCAATCTAGCGAAGATCACAAAAAGCGACCGTTTTCGCTACCTAGGATCTATCTTGCAAGAGAACGGAGAATTAGATGGAGATCTCAACCATAGAATACGAGCTGGATGGATGAAGTGTTAGAATGCATCCGGCGTGTTGTGTGACCGTTGTAGGCCACTGAAGCTCAAGGGAAAATTTTATAGGACGGCAATAAGGCCAGCGATGTTGTATGGCACAGAATGTTGGGCGGTGAAGCATCAACACGTACACAAAATGGGTGTAGCGGAGATGAGGATGCTTCGTGGGATGTGTGGGCACACGAGAAAGGATAAGATTGGGAATGAGGATATCCGAGGTAAAGTAGGAGTAGCCGAAATTGTAGGAAAGATGAGAGAAAATCGGCTCCGGTGATTTGGACATGTGCAAAGAAGGCCGAATGACGCTCCGGTTCGAAGATGTGACTACGGGACAGAGGTTCAGGGCCGAAGGGGTAGAGGAAGACCTAGGAAAACTTTGGAAGAGACTCTAAGAAAAGACTTAGAGTACTTGGATCTAACGGAGGACATGACACAAAACCGAGCGCAATGGCGTTCTAGGATTCATATAGCCGACCCCACTTAGTGGAAAAGGCTTTGTTGTTGTTGTTGTTGTTGTCTCAAGAAACTCTCGAGAGTTGCAGTCTGCCGAGTTTTCTGTATATTCGTTCCCTAAATTCAATACCCAGTGTCATATTTGGTATATGTTGAGTCAGATAACAAAAGATTTGTATTTGCTCTCTGGTGTCATATTTTTACCCATTCATGTGCATGCCTTGCACAACTCGTCTCCTCTTTTGATTAAAAAGAGGAATTATCAACAATCTCGTGTGTGGGGTTTCTCTGCAATCCTAACAGAGTAAAATACGAAATTTCTACAACATCTAACCGAGCTGAGTGTTTTTCCAGGTGAAAGGACTACTGAAGGAGAAAAAGCTAGAAATGCTGGTTGATCCTGATCTCCAGAGTAATTATGTAGAAGCTGAGGTAGAGCAGCTAATTCAAGTTGCACTGCTCTGCACACAAGGCTCCCCAATGGACCGGCCTATGTCAGAAGTTGTAAGGATGCTTGAAGGTGATGGCTTGGCCGAAAGATGGGATGAGTGGCAAAAGGTCGAAGTGCTTCGCCAAGAAGTGGAGTTAGCTCCTCACCCGAATTCTGACTGGATTGTTGACTCAACAGAAAATTTGCATGCAGTTGAGTTATCCGGTCCAAGGTAACCTTGGCGTGGTAGACGCGGAAAAAAGATGGGAGGTGAGGAACTATTTTCTACTTAATTTTTTAACCTACAATTTTCGTTTCCTTTCTGAACGACGATATCCTGATTAATGTATCTTATAAGTCCATTCTGCATTTTATTCATTACACTTGTGCATATGAGTTGCTTTAGTATGATGCAATTTGTATCATCTGCTGCAGTGTGACAAAGCCCTCCATTTTTTATATAAGAAAGCTGTGGCAGTCTTAATCTTTATGCTCCCCATGCTCATTTGCGGTCCAGTCGTTTTTGTAACTTATCCGTTTATACGCGGGCAGTCTCATCTCGGAATGAGTTAATTTACTGGTTTGCTCGTTCATGTCATGTAGGCCATATTCTGAAGAACAACTTACATGAAATAACTTACATGGAACGGGTTTAGCCGTCCTGTGGCATCTTTATCCAATAATGTATCGTCATGTGGAGAGAAATTTGCACGGGGTAATGCATTATTGGACGAGGGGTGTCACGTGACAGTGAACGTGGGGCGGCAAAGAATTGTACTTCAACTTTTAAGCTTTTGCGGGAAGTGGTGGTATAAATACATCACAAGAGTTTCTGCGTTATTAGTACAGAACCGGCTTTGGGACTCTGTAGTGGCCGACTGGCCATAGCGTATGGGCTGACCATCCATTAACGGTGACCCACAAATTTTTATGAATGTTTTTTTTATAGAGATGGACCTGGTACATGAATTTTCGCCCTAATTTACAATTAGTTTATGAATTAAAAATTCATTAATCGAGGTTTAGGAGTATAATAGAAGTGCACTAGTGAAGAGGTGGCACGTGTAAGAAAATAATACGTGTTATTTGAAAAAGTGAAAAGATGCAAATGCAACTCCCCTTTGAACGTTGAAACAAATGAAAATTAGAAATTGATTCAATTAAAAAACCGCAAAATGTAATATAAAAAAATATAAAGACCTCAGAGTACACTTAAAATCGCCTCAACAAGTCAAGACTAAAACTAATTTTGGGGGATGACCACAAGAAATCTTTATTTCTCCTAGTTGGAATCCATGAAAAGCATAAACAACGGTGAAATTCTATCTTTTGTTTTTTTTCAAGTGTTCTAATTGTATAATAATATTAGACGTTTCATCCCATAATTCGGACACACTGAACAAATCTCTCCCCAATCTAAGGGTATTTTGTAAGGAAAGAGATCATCTCCGGATCTCTTCCACCAAGGCCACCGGATCAAGTTAGGGCCTATGAAATTTTATCAAACGGCTAAAAATTATTATAACTTTTAATGATCAAAACAGGTGGACCGTTAAATGAAATTTCAAAATTCCGGATCACCTTATCGATAGCTTTGATGGAAGAGATCCAAGGAGGATCTCTTTCCATTTTGTAAATGAGGGGTGGGCTCAAATCAGCCCCCAGGCACATGAATAATTACTTTGGTGGAGACCAGGACTTGATGGTACGGTGAAAAGATGATGGAGAACATCGCAGAACACGGCTTTCCGTGCACCCGAAAATTAATGCACATAATTTGTTGCCCCGTCGGCATCCAAGGGCTGAAGACTTCCAATCTATCTTCGAAAGGTTATTGTCTTAAATTTGTACGCCGTGGTATTTAATTAGCCCTCTATGATTGGAGACCGAAAACATTAATCCGCGACTCTTCTGAAAAAAACAATTATGTTTTTTAGGATATAATTAGATACTTATTAGTGAATACATTTTAATTTTGTTGAATTATAAATTAACACATATTTTATTGTTCTAAAAAACAATGAACATATCATTAATTTTTTTGGGCATTAAAAGAAGGAAACACGTAGCATTTTATTTAGACCCAATCAGAAAGTGGACCAAATCAAAAAGTAAATACATGGAATACTCTCTAATGAGTACCAAGTAATATCCTATTTTTTTATGGCTAAAATTAGAGAACTTTAATGAAAAACTCTCGGTACTGTTCACTTTAACGAAAAACTATATTTTTACACTAAAAATCAATCTTGGTACTATTCACTTTACACTTTATTCTTTAATTATCGTTAAAACTCAAAGTTTTCAAACCATTTTCATTAATTTGCCTCTAAAATTATGCCCAAAGCTTTTATCAACCCTTGGAAATGGCCTAACATAAAATGCCCCTCACATGTTAGGGGGTTTTATTTACTTAGGAGATGATTTTCACACATATACATATACTTTTACGCTTTTCGCATATTCTATTTATTATTTTTAATAATGAGCCTCAAATTGAATAAATCAGATGAAAGTAACGGTCTATATTAAAGGTTAAAGAGGATACTTTTACTTAACTAAATCACTAATCCGTAATAAATGGTGTGTTTTTATTCACCACTTTCAAATATAATACTGCTCATCACTCTACTTATTACCACTTAATGAGTTTAACGTTTAAAAATTATATGTGAATATAACGCAAATAAGTAAAATGGCGAGCAAAATTATTCCCCGTAATAAATAGTCAATTACTCACTTGTTTCAAAAATGACGTGGCAGCAAAAAGGCCTTCAAAATTGCCTCAAATTCACGTAAAAACTCCCCATACATACATATATATACTCAAACGTACGGTTTTACACATTACAGTGGTTAAACCATAATCAAAATCAAGAGCAAATTTGGAGTTATAAATTGAGCTTAATGTCACCCAAATCAAGCTCCGCCGCAATCTCCTCCAGCTGCTTCTTCACGCTCAAGTCAATAAGCTTCGACCCCGACTGCCCGTACCTCACCGTGAACCCCGCCACCAGGCTCGGATCAATCTCCGTCTTGATCCTCACGTTCTGCGCCCCCGTCAGCTTCTGCACCTGCTTCGCTATCTGCGCCAAGTGCTGCGACTCCAGCTTCACCACCGAGCTCACGATCGCCAGCTCCGTGTCCGTTATCTTGTTGTACACCACCTCGAACTCCTTCACGATGTCCTTTATCAGGTCGATCCGCTTCGCGTCCACCAGGATGTTGAGGAAGTTGATCGTGTGCGGCTGCAGCGCCGACGACTTGGCGATGTCGTCCAGCACCTGCCGCTTCTTCTCCAGGCCGATTGTGGGGTTGATGAAGAAGTCGAACACCGACGGCTCGCCGAAGAACTTCTCGATCTTTTCCACGTCGCCGCTGGTGGCTTCGAGGGTGTTGTTCGAGTTCGCCACGTCGGCTAGCGCGGAGGCGTAGCTGGCGGCGGCAGAGGCGTTCATGCGGGCGCCGAGGGATCCGGAGCCGTTGCGGCGGGCGGTGAGGGCTGAGGAGGAGAGTTTGAGGTGGAGGGGGGAGAAGGTGGAGGAGAAGGAGAAGGAGAGAGTGGTGGTCCGCGGGGTGAGGGCGGAGGAGAGTGGTGGGGATGGGGTTTTGGATTGGAGAGAGATTATGGTGTGTTGGAGGGCGGCCATTGGTGGAGATTGGGTGGCTCTCTCTCTCTCTCTCTCTCTTTTTCTGATGATTTGTTAGAGAGAGATTGTGGAAGTGGAAAGAAGTGGGTTGGAGTCGGACCTTTTGGAGATGATATGAGGGATGGATGGACGGTTGGGATGGTGGAGAAGGAGAGGGATTGACGGTTGATATTTGAATGAGCTTTTATCATGAATTTGGAGTTCATAGCCACTTATATCTTTACGGGATAAATGATTTGACGCGTGGCTGACCTTTATAGGCCAGCCAATATTTTCTATATTTTGTAGGAGAAACTCTTCCTCATTAACAAGTTAAATTTAAGAGTAAATTATAGCAATAGTCCTTCAACTTTAATCAAATTGGAGCAATGATCCCTCAACTAAAAATTCATTATCATTGGTTCCTCAACTTATCAAAATGTGTAGCTATAGTCATTTTCATCAATTTCGTTAAAATAAGTTATGTTGGAATAACCATTTATATAATTAGCGTCCCTCAACTCATCAAAGTGTGTAATTATGATCATTTTCGTCAACTACGTCAAAATTTTTGTCAAAACGAGTTATGTTGGAATGACCATTGCTACAATTCGGTTAAAGTTAAGGAACCATTTCTCTAGTTAAATTAAAGTTGATGGACCAATGGTAATGGATTTTTAGTTGATGGACCAATGGTAATGGATTTTTAGTTGATGGACCATAGCTGCACGTTTTGATGAGTTGAGTGACCAATGGTAATGGATTTTTAGTTGAGGGACCATTGCTTCAATTGAGTTAAAGTTAATGGATCATAGCTATAATTTACTCTAAATTTAATTGCTAGTTGTCCAATAAAAAAAAATTTAATTTCTAGTTGTTCGGAAGTGTTTTTAAAATAATCAAATCCACATTTAGATTACTTAAAATGTTAAAAGTGTTTTAATACAAAAAGTTAGAAGTGTTTTTAAACAGTTTTACAGAAAAAAGCACTTACCATGTGTTTCTTTCATGAGTCATTTCTAGTGTTTATCAAAGCATCACTTGAATTTTTATTAAAATATTGATGTGCTTTTACTAGAAGCTAAAGTGCTTTTGGGCATAAGTGTTTGTTAGAGAAGTATTTTTAAGGCTAAATAGCCAAAATGGTCCTTGAGATTTGCATAACTCATCACTTTGGTCCCTAACATTTCAAATCAATAAAAGTGATCCCTGATATTGTCCACCATCCATCATTTTGGTCATTCCGTTAAAAACTCCATTAAGTGTCCTGGAAGTTTGGGCAATTTTCAAAGCTTCGTAACTCAATTGTTTCTTAACCAAATTCGACCATAATATATCAAAATGAAGATAGGAAAGTGTAAAATACGATTATACCTATTTGGAAGCCCAATGGTTTTTGGAGATTGTTAGAAAATAGCCTCAAAGTTGACTGGTTCGAGGGAAAACTTGACAACTCATTAAAAACTGAGTAAACTTTAAACGTTAATAACTTCTTCAATACTCAACGAAATCAAGTGATTAAAAAAAAATCATACTTCTCGACGAGAAAAAGAGAATGGTACCTTTTGTGATGGCTAACTCGCCGTGGTTTGGCAGGAAAACGGCTCAAAAGTGGCTGTCTTGGTCTCGAGTTAGCCACTTTCGAGCCTTTTTTCAACCAACCCAAGACGATTTAGCTGTCTAAAAATATACCATTCTCTTCGTCTCGTTGATACGTATGATTTTCATTTTTGAATCACTTGATTTCGTTGAGTATTGAAGAAGTTATGAACGTTTAAAGTTTACCCAGTTTCCGGCGAGTTTTCAAGTTTTCCCTCGGACCAGTCAAATTTGAGGCTATTTTTTTGCCATATCCGGCAACCATTAGGCTTCCAAATAGGTATAATCTTATTCTACACTTTTCTATCTTCATTTTGATATATTATGGGTTGAATTTGGTTAAGAAACGATTAAGTTACGAAGCTTTGAAAATTGCCCAAACTTCCGGCCAAGAGCTTCAGGACACTTAACGGAGTTTTTAACGGAATGACCAAAATGATGGATGGTGGACAATCTCAGGGACCACTTTTATTGATTTGAAATGTTATGGACCAAAGTGATGAGTTATGCAAATCTCAATGACCATTTTGGCTATTTAGCCAATGTACCATGCGTTGTGTGATATTCTAATTAGCCATTTTGTCAATGTACCATGCATTGTGATATTCTAATTTCTATCTAATCTTTTTTTTATCCACTTGATAACTATATTCTTTTTTAGGAAAAAGAGAAATGAAGAAGGGTGGTAGGAATGAAGGGAAGCAACAAAGAAGAATGAATGAAAACAAAATCACGAAGTGAAAAGAACTTCAATATAATTTTTAGGTTTTTGGTCTTTTGGGTTTCTTTTGTGTGCATTTCCACTTTGTCATGTCTCTCATTCTCGAATGTACTTCTTTCTTTCTACAACAAGAATAAAAGGTGAAAATAAAAGACGAAATAATTATCAAACGAGACCTTAATAAAAACTTTTGCATTCGTTTTCCTGCTACTCATCATGTTTTTTTTAAATAGTTTAAATCTTAATAGGTATATGTGCAAAGATAAATCTAACAAAATTAGTAAATTTAAAAGCCGCTCGTGTATGCAAATATGAGTTGGGAGTAGTTGACGAACCCAATACATATCGTCTTAAGTTCATAATCACAATTATATTTTGGTAAATTGTTTGCCACTGTTTTGCACTCAAGTTCAAATTTTCCCCGTCAAAGTATAGAGTAAATAACATTTCATGAACTATATATATGTGTGTAATCATTTCGAGCAGCAAACCAAGTGGTACATTGCTATCCCAATTGTCACCAAGACTACATACCATGAATTCTTGACCATGAACACCTCCACAGAATCAAAAACTCAAAACTCACCCAATAAACTTACACAAACAATACTCTACAAATAACTCTGAAAACACCCTATAACAAAAGTTCGAGTGATAGTACAAACCATATCCCCTGACCAGCAAGATCTGACAAAGAAAGATTGAGTCGACGAATCAAACAGAAACTACTCAACCTCAGCGTCCTTGGGAAGGGAACGGATTATCTGTAGCAGACTGAGCATGAGATCCGACATTTGAATTTTGTGATGTAAATAAGTTTGGGTACGAGAAGTATGGGTCATCATCCATTGAAGACAATCTCTGAGGCTGATGACGAACAGGCTCGTGTTCATAAGCATGATCTTTGGGAAGCGGGGAATCAAAACTGGCATTAAGAGGTTCCATAATGATGGACGAAGCATTTGATATCTCGGATCCCTGGCCATATAAATAGATTTGATGGGGTACCGGAGAATTCATAACACCATCAGAACCACCACTGGGGATATGATGATCGAAGTCTGGTTTTTCTCTAGCATCCGACTGATTAGGAACGTCTTCATGAAATGGGTTTTCACTTTCAGACCTATTTTCAGAGGCTTCTTCGCTGTTTTTCTTGGTAATCTCGTTGATTTTAACCTGTGCAAGACTAGCTGCTGAGGGAGCAGCTGTCGCTGCACGTTCTGCAGAGTCCGCAGCAGCTTGAGTAGCCGACTGATCAGGAATGTCTACATGAAAAGGGTTTTCACTTTCAGACCAATTTTTAGGGACTACTTCGCTGTTTTTCTTGGTAATCTCGTTGATTCTGACCTGTGCAAGACTAGCTGCTGAGCGAGCAGCTGTCGCTGCACGTTCTGCAGAGTCCGCAGCAGCCTGAGCAGCAGCTAACACATCCTGCAAATCGACATTAACCTCGCTTCTTGTTCTTGATAGAGAGGGTGGTGGATTGCTTTGTCTTGTAGGAAATGACACAGAAGAAAGTGAAGGGGCAGAAATAAATGGCAAAAACTGCTTATCTTCCACACCGCCAACCGAGAGATGAGACTGTTCCTGATTGTTAGCTACTGATCTTTCTTCCATCACTTCTCCGGAGTCAAAGGATGACTCTTCAGATTGATTTTCAATGGACCCACATTTTTTTGACAAGTCTTGATCAATTTCAGGGTGTGGATGGGTTGGTAAAGGAGGAGGCATCATTGGTGCTGAGGCTGGATTTGTACTTGGTCCTAGTGATTGCTTAGGAACTTCAGGAAAGTCTAATGAGTCCAAACTGTCATCAGAATCAGACGGTTCTTTCTGGGCTTGATCCGGGGCATATTGCAATGTTTCATCATGTTTTTCTTGGGGAAGGGGCAATTTAGACCCACTTACAAACTGTGTTGGACCACTCTGACAATGAGAGGACAGATTTAAGCAGACATAGGTAAAAAGGAAATAGGGTAAAAGAACAAACGAAAAATGAAACCAAGCAGGGGCATATATGCTTACCAACAAATCTTCGTGCGGTTTGTAAATTTCAGCTTCAGATGCAGCAGGATCCCAATCCAGGCCATGCTCTTCAGCAATTTCTTTAAGAAGCTTCAGTTTTTTCTCAGGTGAGGGAGGACGAACAGATAGCAGTTCTATCAACTGCATCAAAATTGAGTGTCACAAACAGATCATAGGAGCCTAAATATCATGAACAACACCCTTGCAGTTTTAGTTGACTAAGATGAATATCATGGGAGAAAAAGGGAGTACACAACAAAAAGAAAGTTCATAAAACCTGGCGATTGACACCACAATCCGGTATAAGCTCTGTTGCAGCTGCTACAAATTCTTTCCCATATTTGGCAGCAAATAGCATTTGAACTTGCAGCAACTCCGGCAGATCAGCACACCTTGGCGCAGCAAAACACACACTGGATATTGCTTCTTTCAAGTCTATAGGGCATTCCCTGTATCAAACAAAAAGTTATAACCAATTTTTTTAAGATTAGGTGAATTTTAAAATGTAAATAATTACAAAACTTGCTAACTTTTTGTGTCAAGACTTCAACAAACTTTAATGCCAAAAAAGTAAATCAAGTATCAGAGACAACACTTTGAGAATGAGATAGTGGAAAGATGAGAAAATCAACCATATGAACCTAGTTAAGGTACACATACTAACCAAGATAACAAGCTAAGTGATGCTAGAAGTGCATGTGTCGCAGGCTACCTTGTAAAGTAACATGGTGGGTTATATGGAAGTGCCATGTGAGTTAATGGAATTCCCTGGGATACATGAGGGTTGGGGTTATCTAATGCATGGTATGCCATCTAAATCACCACAACAGTTCGCAAGTCTTAGTACGGTTAGAAATTTCATAATGGGTTCATTAGATCCTCCATCAAGGAACAAGGACAGAGTAAATGTGAAACTCAAACAAACTTCCCATAACTGATACTATTGTACTCCCTATTCCAAAAACACAACAATAAACCACCGGATATAAAGCAGACAGTGCTCCCCGCTAGCATTTGGTGGGTTTAGTGACTGAATTGCAATCCCTGAATGACAAACTCTGTTTGGTTTGTAGAATATATCGGTAAAAGATGGTATTAAATATTTTATTTGTAACAATTTGGGAAGAAAAGTACGAGCCTAAACAAATGTCCAGCGCTTAGCTAAAGTGCTCGTATTCCACAAGAAGAAAACCCAATCACTAGTTCTCAAATTTTCTTTTTCCTCTCTCTTCTCTCCCATGCTATTTCTAGAAGCCAACTTAAGTATATATATGAAACTAGAAAGCCAGAACAAGGTTAAAGAGAGAAGGGCCGTTAGCAGCATGTTTTCTATGGAACTGCAAATTCATGCATATCTATTTTACGGGATAACAAACAAGTCAATTAAACGATTAAAATTAAAAAAATTGTTTGACTTTGGACCTTTAACTAACATGTAATATGATTGATTAGACTTGCAAAAGAAAATATGATCATTGCACTTTCAAATTATTTCAAAAAGCTTTTGTGATCTAACCTAAAATGCAGGCAGCCAAATTTCTGCATACCATGAGAAAAAACACAGGCTAGTATACAAGCTTAGTCAGACACTAACCACAGCAACATCTGATTAAGTAATAAAATGATGTATTCCTGACTTAACAAATGCTATGAGAAACCATATCATCATATCCAAAGTCCCACGTCCTCGTATGTAAGAATTTATGTAGCTATGCAATTGAAGTCTCTTCTTCTCATCTATAATTTTCTCTTAACAATTTTATCTCTGCACCATGTACATTTCAAAATGATGTGTGTGTTTGTGATTGTGTGCTTTTGTCTTAGTCTAAAGAGGTTGGTTCTGTTAACAGTTAACACCCACTTGGAATGTAGGGGCTGTTTACCCTCTTCGCTATAACATGTGGTTTATAAGGCTCTTCTCCAAGATTTAAGTTTGTCTGGTGTTTCCGTGAAGAAAAACTAGTCACATCAATCTAATGCAAAGTTACAACTAACAAGTCACAGAGCTTTATTTGGTCTTGTAAGGAAACTTGAAAAGAGAAAAGAAAAGAAGTTATTCAGAAAATATAGTTAGGTTTCAAAATCAAAGATACATGGGCATTCTTTTCTAATTTAGATTATCCTAAGGTAATAGCATATAAGAATAAAACTCCAATAAAACTCTTTGATAAAATATGGGTGGGGAAACAGGTATGGTAGGGGGAGCAAAGGGATTTTTGCTGAAGTTAAAATCTTTCACACTTATAGCCAAGGTCCTGAGCCAAATCCCTCAAATATTTAAAAAAAAAAAATCCTTTGATTTGATTTGATTAATTGATTAAGTGTCATTTTATTCTTTATTCTAGCAACAATGGTTTTTTTTTTTAATGCCAACCCTGTCCCCGCAAGGAAAAAGAACAATGAGTACAATATGGACCGAGGATTATTAACAATAAATTCCAATCTTTTTCTTTTTTAAATCATACTGGTGCATAATTTCCGTAATGCATGCCTGTTACTAAATCCATGAGACGCACATTAGATCAACCCAGATTTTTCACTAACACATAACTGAATTGCTTGCCAGTTTATAAGGGATTACAACATATCAACTGCTTTTTAAGAATGAGATTCTACAAAGAAAGTGAAAGCATGCATCGATCAAAAACTAAATCTTCCCTCTTTATACAATCCACAACGGTCATTCTTTCACCATACTAAAAGATATGTATAGATATTTTCCAAATTTGCAAACATTGACTTAAATTTGATTTGGTGAAACCAAGTTAATCAATCTATTGGTGCATAATTAGCCATTCAACAAGATAGCAGGCATAAGAGCATGCTTTATAATCCCTCCCAAAAATCATCTGAGTTTTTTTCATTAAGAATATATACAGTACTGAAAATGTTCCCTGCGTAGAGAGAATATGAGATATGACATCATTTCAGCTTACGGTTCTGCCCACAAGAATATAAGCTCACACAAATGTTAAACCAGAAGGTTGGGTTGTAATAAAATTTCTTAAAAAAATCAGAAATAGAAATTGCATGCTAAGTTACTGGAGAATAACCTTTGTGATTCAATAATTGGAAGGCGGACAGCAATAAGCTCGCAAAATAGCTCAAGGATCTCATGAGCTGCCATCATATTCTCTTCTCTAATTATATGCTCCACCTGAAATATAAATATCAACAACCCCATTACAAAATGACCATTATAAAAACCCTCACCAAACTTTTTCTTCATACTCTACTTTCTAATAGGAGTACCCAACTCATATATAATTCATAAATAGCAACATCTCTTGGTATCGAAAATATATGGAAAAAAAGATGTATTACCCGAATTCTAGCAGTAGCCTCTTGGCCAGTCTCAAGAAGCTTGGCAATGTCGCGGCGCATCTGTTTAATCTGAATTTCTCTCCTGTTCCTCAACAATTTTATCCGCGGAGTTGTCAATTTCAGCAGGGTTTTGCTGCACATACAAATACACACTTACATAAAATCACCCAAAACCGAAAAAATCAAAAACTCAAAAGTTGCATTGCACATCCACAGAACGCAAATAATTCCAAACCCACGTCCCCGAAATTCTCAGTGGATCATATTACAACGGGTTTTCTAAAAAAATAAAATTTTTGTAAAATCTCACACTTCCAGACAAACAGAGGTACCAAATCGATCCAAGTTTTCGATCGCAATAAAAATTTAGACGAAACTAAAACGAAAAAAAGGACGCAAAAACTGAGAGAGAGAGAGAGAGAGAGAGATGAGTGATGGGTACCATTTGACCGCTTTGAAGCCCTTGTTGAAGAAGGAATCGAGCATCGACATGGCCGATGAAAATCCAAATCCTTAATTCCCAAATCAAAGGTTCAATCTTTTCTCTGCGTCTTCGATTTTGTTGATGTCGCAGAAGCGGAGGGAATTGGGGGAAGATAGAACAATGATTAGTAGCTGAGGAGAGGACTAACCGCTACGTAAAAGTGACACACAGGGTGTTTGGCTACGGACCGTACGCGTGGTTTACAAGTTTGCTTAATGGACAATGACTCCCTTCCTGCGCGTACGGCCTTTTTTGCGCGGGTGGTCTCTGCTGTGCCGTTGTTTCTTAATTGTGGGGCCAAACACCGCCTTCTTTCTTTCTTTCTTTCTTTTTTAATTTATTATTATGAGAATGAGAACGGCTGAGAAATTAAACATTATGAATCAATCTAAAGTAAAAAATAGAGGGACTTATACAAATAAATGTCTTACATTTAAATGATTTTTGGGGTTGGGTAGCACTTGCGATTAGTGGAACTATGTATGTCACGCGTAGCACACCATAATGTAAAAAGGACATTTCGTACACACAAGGCGCGTGTAGAAAGGCTAGTTATTATTAAAAGGAGAACAGTGTAACCAGCCCTTTGAGATGAAGAAGTTTTCTCCACTTTTAAGAGCAAACTAAAGGAGTCACTTAGTACTACGGTCTAATAACATTTATCTTTACTTGTAAGTGAGAGATTTTAGGTTCGATTCTTGTAAAAAACGAATTTGAACCACATTATTATTAGCACATTATGAAGCTAAGTCCACCATTTCTCCATCTTCCTTTAGTGTAAATAATATCGTTTGTCCAAAAAAAAAAAGAGCAAACCAAAGTAAATGAGGCACTCCAAAATGAAATATCTTAATAAACATTCTCCTAGTTAGATAACAAATTAGAAGCACCAGAAATTAAGTTTCAAAAATGGCGGATCATAAAAGCTTTATTCCAACAATGTAACCTCTTTGAGCCAAGGTCCCCTTCTGATTTAGGGAGACAACCAAGCCACCTTACCTGAAGAACGCTCTAAACAAGTACTAGACCCTTCTTCAACATCCCTAAAAGGCATTCTTTGGGGATGATTAGATGTGAGCACCAATAAACTTGAAGGCTAGAAAGCACAATTTCGGTGAGTTGCAACCTCCCAACTAAGGTATTAAATATCAATGATATCAGAAATATCGGTAGTTCAAAAACACAGAAATTTCGATAGGAATATCGGGATATTATCGATATCGATAAAAATTGAATAAAAACCACGGAAATTGTAAGAAAAACTCAATTATCTATTATTTTATCACAAAAATTAGAAGGAAATGCATTGCATGATATATATAATTGATTTAAGTTGATTATATAGCGAGCTGACAAACATTGTGAGTGTAGAAAATATGTAGTAATTAATGAAAGAAGTTTAAACACACCATAATCATTTATATATAATGAATTAGTACAATATTTTACACTTTATACATTGCATGGTAAGATACATGAGTGACTTAGCAAGGTTTAAAATATCGATAATATCGGAAATATCGGTAGTCCAAAAAAATATCTGTAGTCTAAAAACACGGAAATTTCGATGGAAATATCGGGATATTATGAATATTTTAGACCATGCTCCCAACACATGAGAGAACAATATTCTTGAAGAAAGATAAGGTTCCACTATAAAATCAATTGACAATTACGAGGAGTAACCCAATACTCTTAACAATTCTCATAGCTTTTAACCCTTGCTTTAGTCTTGTCATTTAAATAAGAATAATGAAAGAGCTTGAGTTTGAAAGTGATGATCGACCGATCACAGAGCTCAAAGAAATAGATCGACAAGGATCCTAATATAAAATTAAACAAGAATAGTATTATTTAAACACTTATTTACCTTCCATGTACATTTATTAATTTTTAGGAAAACTAATGAAAAGGGCTTGAAAACTTTGAGTTTTAATGATAAGGACAAAATAAAGGGTAAATTGAATAGTACCAGGATTGACTTTTTAGTGTAAAAATATGGTTTTTCGTTAAAGTGAACAGTACCATGTGCTTTTCGTTAAAATTCCCTTAATTTTTTACCATTGATTTTTTCCAATTCATTCTATTTAAAGTAAAAAAAATGACAGAAATCCAAAACTTTGGTTTCCACTAGTTCAGCTCATTGTAATAGGACGTTTAAAAGGTTTTAAAATACCAGAAATACCCTTAATGGTTTTTGAAATTCACCTCGTCTTACCCCCCCGTGTTTCTGTGATGAACATCTGCTCCCTCGTCTGCAAAGCCTTCACTAAAACGTCCACTCTCACAACGATCTCTCAATCTCTCTTCAATCTCTCTCAACGCGCTCAAAGAAAGGGCCACTTCTTCGACACAAAGGTAAGCAAGCAATCTCTCCAAAACGTTCGATTCGAGGGTTTCAATGGTGCTCCTCATTTCGTTTGTTTTGATGCCAGACTCAAATTCCCACGCTAGGGTTTCCAAACGGGTTCGAAATTTGCTTTTTTTAGGGTTCTTGCGGATTCTGGGTACCATGCTTCGTGGGTATTTTATGCTTATTGGCCTGTGATCAACCTTTGATGGCGTTCTTCGTTTCCTCGGTTTTGAATTTAGATTCAATGCTCCAACACTGGGATTTTATTTCTTTCTGGAATTTGAAATCTGATGATTTCCTTGTTATTAATTAAGCTTCTTTGTGGTTTCCTCAAGTTTTTTTTTTTTTCCAATTAAATTCGTGTTAAGCTTCTTGTTGCGTTTAGAATCGTCTGCATTAGGCGAAATTAGTAGAAGGGGATCTACTAAGGTTAATTACTTTGACAAACCTACTCCAATTGTATATTAATTTTTGAATCTTGCATGATGGTTTTTTTTTTTTTTTTGTACTCTGTTATATGCTTGTGATCAGAAAGCATATAAGTAAATAACTACGATGTTAACCATTTTTTCTTATGCAAATAAAAAGTAATTGACCCGAAAAATCATTCTTATGATGCAAAAACTTCATCGTGGCTTGCAATTTTCGTAGAGTAGTGATCCCTTGGTTTTCTCTCCTGACTCCTCTAGCCCAAACAATAGGTTTTGGTTATTATACTTCATTATCGTCGAGTTTTCCTGCTCCAAACCACTAAATCTTGCATAACCTTCTGGCTTGGTGCCATGGCAAGGCAACAAGTTAAATCCTTCCTTGAGCGAGATCTTGTTTCTTTGTCTCAGCTGGCCCTTTGTGAGGCACTTTATTCTGGCCTATGTTGTTTTAAAAACCATGAATTTGCATACCTGTTTTGAATGATTTCAAGGTAGGAGGTGCTTTTTTTTTTCCTTTTACTGGCTTATATTTTTGGTTCGTTAACTCAAATGTGGCTTTTGTTGCTCCAATAGTTTGGGCTCATCAGGTGGTATTGTTTTGTTAGGTTCTGGAAATAAGTAGCAGAGATGATTTCAGAGAAGCCCAGTTGGATTAGACATGAGGGAATGCAAATTTTCTCCATTGACGTTCAACCTGGTGGACTTAGGCTTGCCACTGGTGGGGGTGATCACAAGGTACAATTCCTCTCCTCCTTCTACTCTGTTTTCTTGTTTAGGAAATGTAGAAAATTAAAAAAAAATCATTGTTTATTGTTTCTCCAACCTGTACTCCTTTAGGAACTTTACAAATTTTCTTGTTAAATGATATTTCATTTACATTATTGTTGTGTTTTAGTTGGGAAAGTACTAAACAGATAGTACATTCGAGTTTCCAGAGACTCTTGACCTCAGAATGCATTTGATGGGAGTAGTTTGTTCAAATTTTCAATAACAGTGTCTTCCTTGCTGGTGGAAAATTTGGTGGAAATAAGTTGTAACTTATGTCTAATGATGTGTTTGGTTTGTGTTTTTAGAAGGGATTTGAGTTCTTATTAGGAATTTTGTTTTGTGTTAATGAAAAATAGAAATCGAAATAGGGTGGATTCCAAATTCCTCAGAATCAATGATAGATAAATCTATTTTTTTATGTTAGAGTACGTTTGATGAAAACAAATTAAACTTTGTAGTCAAATATAAATCCACCATTTTAAATCTACGTAGAAAAATGCTGAATAGCTTTTAAATCCAGACACTAAGGATATTATATTTTTGGTTTAGAGCATAACTTGTTTGTAAGGTTGCATGTATTTCCGGTGTGTGATAGTGAAAGTTTAAGCAGATATTTATTGAATATATTTTATTTTTCATTTTAGTGTTTTCATTTATGTTTCTTGTAAGAGGTCGCACTTGGTGCGATGGCAAGTGCCTTCGCCCATGAGCGGTAGGTCTCGGGTTCGAGACTTGGGAGCAGCCTCTCCATAAATGGGGGTAAGGCTAGCCGACATTCACCTCTCCCAGACCCTGCGTAAAGCGGGAGCCTTGTGCACTGGGTACGACCTTTTTTATTTATGTTTCTTGTCTACTAGAATGGAACCCTTATTGTGTTTTTTATATTTTATCATTTTTTAACTATGGTTTACGTATTTCAAAAATGGTTATTGAAGTACTTCTTGTGCTATCTGTACATGACTAGTTTTTATTAATTCGCAATTGACATTTAAATGCAATAGATGAAAAACATTGATAGTTAGAGGTAGCATCTCACATATGGCATAACTCATCTCCTCAAAGTCTGAATCTGGTGTGGCAAGGGTCCACCATAGTTTGAAAGTAATGTCTCCACTTTAGGTGTACTCCCTGCTACTTGCATTCTTTAAGACCATGAAGCCATTTTCTACGTGCGTTCTGGACCTGAAGTAAATCATGTCATTGTATTTGTGCTATCATATTCTAGTACTAGAATTCATTGCAAACACATTTGGATGAAAAATCAGAAAAACAATTAAGTGCAAATGATCACTACTGGCGTCACTAATAGTGGGAGCATTCTGTGCATACATTCAAATTTTCCCATAAAACTATGTTTTATAATTCATTATTGCACATGGTGTTTGAACAGCCACATAATCTCATTGACGGTATATCTTGTGTTAGACACATCTGGTCAGTCACATTTATATTTATTTATATTCAGACTTGTTGCATCAACTTACATGATATCATTTGTTATACCATGGAAGCGATTTATTCCTCCCCACTTTACCACGTACAGGTGCGGGTATGGAATATGAAATCCCTTGGCAGGGATTTGGATAATGAAGAATCAGCCCAGAGGCTACTTGCAACTCTCCGTGATCACTTTGGTTCTGTGAATTGTGTTAGGTGGGCTAAACATGGTCGGTTTCTTGCATCAGGATCTGATGACCAAGTGATTCTAATTCATGAGAGAAAGCCTGGTTCAGGAACCACTGAGTTTGGCAGTGGAGAGCCACCTGACCTTGAAAATTGGAAAGTTTCAATGACTTTGAGAGGGCATACTGCAGATGTGGTAATGACGTTGCTTTCACTATTTGGGAGTCACCACCTAAATAAATTCTTTCATCTTATAATTTATTGAAATGGAGTATGTTTTGCTTCATGAATATGATCCATCTTTTGTTTTCAAAATTCAAGTCATCTTGCTTTTGGTGGATTATCTTGAGCTACAGTGAATTGGGTCTTTGAAGTTAGATCTATGATTACAGCTGCCCTTCCCAAAGAAAAAAACATGGATAGTTTAGTTGTGTTTTATTTCAATTTTCCCAAATGAATGCTATGAAATTTTTTTATAGTTCCTGATGGGTGTTGTCTTTCTGAGGTGTTGTTTTTCCATGCTTAAAGTAGGTGGATCTTAATTGGTCTCCAGATGACTTGATGTTGGCCAGTGGAAGTTTAGATAACACTATACACATCTGGAACATGAGCAATGGTATTTGCACTGCTGTTCTGAGGGGTCACTCTAGCCTGGTTAAAGGAGTTACTTGGGATCCAATTGGCTCCTTCATAGCAAGTCAATCAGATGATAAGACTGTAATTATTTGGCGAACAAGTGACTGGAGCCTTGCTCACAGGACAGACGGCCATTGGCAAAAATCAGTATGTTAATCGTGTCAATGAAGTTTATCATTATACAAGTTCCAACATCTTTTTCTGACATGCCTGTGTTTCTTCAGCTTGGATCCACCTTTTTCAGGCGGCTGGGATGGTCCCCTTGTGGCCACTTCATTACTACCACTCACGGATTCCAGAAACCAAGGCATTCTGCACCTGTTCTAGAGAGAGGGGAATGGTCTGCTACATTTGACTTCTTAGGACATAATGCCCCTGTGATCGTAGTGAAGTTTAACCATTCAATGTATAGGAGGAATATTTCCAATGCTCAGGAAAAAGCTGCACCCATCGGGTGGACTAATGGGGCTTCAAAGACAGGAGGAAAAGAGAAAGAACCACAACCTTATAATGTCATTGCTATTGGGAGTCAGGACAAGACTATAACAGTATGGACTACTGCAAGTCCCCGACCTCTCTTTGTAGCAAAGCATTTCTTTACTCAAAGTGTTGTGGATTTATCCTGGTATGGTTTCCATTTTACGATAAATATCTACCATTTAGTATTTTTCATATTCTATATCATTTTTAATTTAGCTTTTTATTCATTTTATGTGGTTATTCTTTTATGTAATGTGTTTATGTTTTTCTCATTGAAATAGGAGCCCTGATGGCTATTCACTTTTTGCATGTTCTTTGGATGGTTCGGTGGCAACTTTCCATTTTGATGTTAAAGAACTTGGCAACCGTTTAAGTGATGCTGAACTGGATGAATTGAAGAGAAACCGTTATGGAGATGTTAGAGGTCGCCAAGCAAATTTAGCAGAAAGCCCAGCTCAGTTATTGTTTGAAGCAGCATCTGCTAAGCAAGCCTCAAGCAAAAAAATGGTTCTGGAAGTTCAGCAAAACGAGACAGTTGGAAAACCTTCTACTGAAGCAACGGTTGCAACAATAACTTCTGCAGACAGCTTAAATAAGGTTTCAATAGCTGCCAGAATTTCAAGTCCTGTGAAGCAGAGGGAATATAGACGCCCTGATGGTAGAAAGAGGATTATTCCAGAAGCAGTTGGGGTGCCTCTGCAGCAGGAAAATATATCTGCTGGGGTTCAAACCCAGGCACTTGACTTCCCTTCTGAATGTTCTGATAAAAACAATGATGAGAATGGGTTAATTGCTGCTGATAGTGGCATCAAAGAAAGTTCTGTTAGGGGAGTAATTGGCAGAAGCACTGAAATAAAGGAAGGACATGGGGTTACTGCTAGAGCTATGATTACCAAGAGCCTTGTTATTGAGAAGGTTCCTGCTTCCACAGGTGGAGATGAAAGCATAGCTGTGGAACAGTCAGGTAATTTGAAGGCGTCTAGTTCAGCAGGTTCTTCATGTTCCACTCTTTCAATTAGGGTGTTTGATAGGAAAGAAGGGGAAGACAATGTACCAATATGCTTGGAAGCTCGACCTAGGGAACACGCTGCAAACGACATCGTTGGCTTGGGAAATACATTTATCATGAAAGAAACAGAAATTACTTGCGCAAGAGGGTTACAGACTCTTTGGTCAGATAGGATATCTGGGAAAGTCACTGTTTTAGCTGGAAATGCAAACTTCTGGGCTGTTGGGTGTGAAGATGGATGCATACAGGTGAGAATCGATATTGCTTTTGCACTTGTATACATTCAAGTTTTCTCCTTTTCTTTGTTTTTTATCCCAAGTGTTATTAATAGATTTATTTCACATTAAGTTCAAAACTCTGCATAATATATTTCAATTTGTTTCCTTGGCGGTTGCACTCCTCAGATCCGATCTAAAGTTTAGCATAATTGTCACAAAAATGTTTCTTTCGACATCGACTTAGTCACACATTATGACAAACATCTTCTTGGTACTAGAATTCTGAAGCCAACTTGTTCTTTCTAATCAACTTTTCTATTGAATTACCCTTGAAGCAATAGCATTCTATTTCCTTTGCAGCATTTTATTTTTAAGTGATTGTACTTGAGAAAGATGCTAATGTACCGTAGGCTCAGATCTTAGCATTCTTTTTATTAAGGTACTTGTGAAAATCCATTAAAAAAAGGGAGGTAGGTTTTGCACAATTGGTTGGCTTAAGCTCTTGGTTGGACATACGGTTCATTCAAGGGGGAGGAATACCCAAAGTCCTAATTCTCAAAAGCAAGTTCAATCTCCCTAACTATTCTGACAAGCATTATGCCATTTATGTTCATTATAGATTTAGACACAAATATTACCACCAAGCTTGGTATAAGTGGTTGAATTTGTTTAACTCATGGAAAATTTTGGTTGCCTTGAGTAGGTTTACACAACTTGCGGGAGACGTGCTATGCCAACTATGATGGTAGGATCTGCAGCAATATTTATAGATTGTGACGAGCGCTGGAAATTATTTTTGGTCACAAGAAAAGGATCCTTTTATGTATGGGATCTATTCAAGCAGAATTGTCTCCTCCATGACTCATTGGCATCTCTGGTCGCTTCAAACCCAAACCCATCTGCAAAAGATGCAGGTACCACATTGCACTTGTCTTTTCAACCCTTGAAGTGTCTTTTTGGATCTCTGTTTGGCGGATAGCCATAGCCTATGTCTTGTCAGCATGAGGTCTAGATGTGCTTAACATCATGACCACTGTGGCTGTTGGTATTGTTTTCCTTTTATTTCTGATCTTTTTTTTTATATAATCTCGTATTTCTGATTCTTTTTATACATGCATTCCAGGCGTGATCAAAGTTATATCAGCAAAGCTATCAAGATCTGGTTCTCCTCTTGTTGTTCTTGCCACTCGCCATGCCTTCCTCTTTGACATGGGCCTGATGTGTTGGCTTAGGGTTGCAGATGACTGCTTTCCTGGGTCAAATTTTGCAAGCTCCTGGCATTCAGGTTCAACTCCGGGTGGTGAGCTGGCTGCTTTGCAGATTGATGTTAGGAAGTATGTGGCCAGAAAGCCAGGTTGGAGCAGGTTTGTACTGAAAACTAGGGAATTTTGAGATTATGATATGTGCTGACCTGCACACTGCAGTTTAGTATCCTGCTTTTGGAATTGATTTATTTTATTTTCTTGTAGGGTGACAGACGATGGGGTGCAGACACGTGCTCACTTGGAGGCTCAGTTGGCTTCCTCGCTAGCTTTAAAGTCAGCCAAAGACTATTGCCAATGCCTTCTATCATATATTCGCTTCCTTGCAAGGTATTTTTTTTCTTTCTTTTGTGCATATATAATTGAATATAGGAAGACCTATATGTCCTTGTCCTCCTGCTGCTGCTCTTTTGTGCTATTTGCACATACATTTCTACTAATTTTGAGAAACTCTTTCATTATTATAATGTTCCTTGGTGGTTCTTCTCTTCAACTTCTACTGGTATGCTCTGCTTCTGCATTTTTTTATTGTTGGTGGCATCATCTTTTACCCAAGCCCGGATAAAGGAGGAGGGGAAGGGCGTCAGGTAGTCGACAGCCGGCACTCCTAGTTTACGTCGAATCCTTATGAAAATGAATCCAAAACGAAATGCAATGGCGTTCTAGGATTCACATAGCCGACCCCACTTAGTGGGAAAAGGCTTTGTTGCTGTTGTTGTTGTTGGTGGCATCATCTTTTACCCTTAAAACAGCAAAAAACATGAGGTGTGAATTTGGTTGTGCAAATTTGACTCTTAAAGTATGTTAAAATTGAATACTTCTTAGACACTCTCGCAAAATGGGGTGTATATGTTTGGTTGTCAATGTTGTCAGCAAGTGTAAAATTTAGAGATGTATTTATGTCTGTGCAGTGGATGTTGTTGCTTGTGGGCTCTGAATGTCTGTTCGTAAGATGTGATGCCAACATAATTTGTGTGTGTGTGTGTGTATGTGTGTGTGTCTGTTGATGTTTAACAATTTTAAACTTTTGATGCATAATAACTTCAGTTTCTGCAGCAATACTCACATATATATATATATATATATATATATATTATATATTATGACTTTATGATTTCACTGATTTCAGAGAAGCAGATGAGTCTCGTTTACGAGAAGTGTGTGAGAGTTTCCTTGGACCTCCAACTGGGATGGTGGACGATACAACTTTAGATTTAAACACCTGCTGCGGCATTGGGACTCTACTGTGTGCGTTGTTTAGAGTGTGGCTGTTCCATTCGATCAGGTGTCTTTGTCTTGTTGTCTTGTCATGTTGCGTTATTGTATTATTTTCTCTATCTCTTGCCATTAATCCGCCCCTGCTCAGTTCATTGAATACTATAGACTTTTTGATCACTGCTTTGCTGTTTTATGGCCTTTTGCCGACGGCGTTAAGGGTAGGAGCGGAACACGGTCACTATTGCTAAGCCATACTTGCTAACGCTAATCGACCGCGTAAGAGATTGCTCGCAGATATCTAATGGGCTCTCCGTGCACATGGCTATGTAATCATGTGAGATGAAAAGTACAGAAGCATCTGCTGTAATTTGAAGTTCTACAGGAGTCTATTTCCGATGAATGAAAGCGCTGAAACAAATATAAGAGGAGGAAAAGATTGCTTAAATCTATGCCTGAAGCGACATTCCCACAGCTAGCTGCTAGATGAAGATCACAACCTAGGCGCGTGCTGCCGTTTCTCTAACGGACCAAACGAGAGAATTGGAAAAGAGGAGCTGGCATAAAGCCTCAATAGGTCCCAGGTGCGTTTTATGCATAACTAACAGTGTTTTATCGAGAGAAAAAGAGTACCGTTCCTTTTTGTCTTGATTCTTTCAAGTCTTAGACGCAAACGGAGTCGTTCCCCAGTTAAGAACGAAACAAACGTAGTAATACAGACAAAGCTTCGGTCTCCAGTGCTCGTAAGTAACAAGATTTAATTTGGGAGGCACTCCGTTAAATCATGAGCAGTCAAGTTGTAGTGTTGCTGCAATATACAAGCGAAGTGTAATAATGCACTAGGGATTGTTCGGAGGTATGAGTTTGCTTGTCCAAGCTCAAGTAGCAAATTGGCCATTGACATGAATCAATCACACAAGGTCACTCTCGACTGGACGACTCGGTATAAACTTTAGCAGGGTTGAGGGAACTACAGCATTGAACTTACCGGAGTTTAAGCCATCCTTAACTTAATGAAACAAAACATAAGGCACTAAGTATATGTTTTCCGAGGTGAGCAACTGAGTAACTCCTACACGTCGGACCGTTCACACATATTGTAATCGCGTACAATGTGAAGCTACTACTTACTCTTCTGCGTGGGAGATAAGAAGAAGCTGGTCTAAATACGTTACGGGGGCACTGTCTACGGGAAGCCCAATTATCAATATTATTTTAAAAGGTTAGACAGCTTGTGTGATTACAAGAAGACTCTATTGGCTCGTGATAAAATCTGATACTTGTGGCTACGGCTGGATCTGTGGCGATATATTTTGTGATTGTCTCATAGAGCACAGTCAATGTGGGAATTAGGAAACTCTCAATTAGAGAAAAAAGGAAAGATATACCTCATGACTTATTGATTTAAGTTTTCGAAAATGCGCTGTCTGCCAAATCAAGATTCACAGGCGAGGCTTTGAGAGTAGCCGGAACTGTGTGTTGAGTTGGGGTATGTGTCTTGGTTGGCCTTCTCTTGTCAAAAACAACGTTAACAATATCAACTATGGGCTTTGCATCAAGTGAACATTACAAATAGAATTACCGAGAGAACATTAATAGGGTCGCTTGCTTAAACAATTATATTAACGCGATAGTGGATTGATGAGGTAATTGGCTAGATTCTTATTGGTGTTTTGAGTATTAATAGTATTCCACGGCTTGTGGATTGGCGCTCTCGCAAAGGATTATATATTCACTACATAACGCTGGCAGGAGGTTGGGAAGGAATAGGCGGTCTGATTTGTCGATTGTACACCTTGGTTGCTACCTTGTGTAGGTCTACCTCGTGTGTAATTATATGGTCTCTATCTACCTTTATAGTACTTGGTACAAACCTTTGGCAACCCTTGATTCTTTTAGTTCAGGAATGTAGGTGAATTATGTTCCCTCTCGCATTTTATTTTTTCCTAATGACCACTTAATAAAAGGATACCAATACGTCTACCGATATGATAACTTTGTTTCTAAAACAATTCTATAGTCTTTGTTCGGGGCAACAACTCTGTCTATACATACGACGAGAGTAGTTATGGTGGGGTGTTTTTAACGTTAACTTAGGTAAAAAGGTAAGGTTAAATAGAATACCATAAATAAATTCTGGTGCGCCTTTTCGTCTGTCTAGATTAGTTGGAATGAAATGACAACCTGAATGTATCCATTCTAGCTTGTATTCTGCATATATAAAAAATATTCATACATAGTGAGTTGCAACTCAACATCACTGCCTCTCTGCTCTTTCAAGTCAGTATTAGCATATATATTTAACGGATCTGGTGCAACAAGCCAAAGCATTTACTCAAATCCCAAATGATATGGAGAACCACTTCACATATGACTGTATATGAGTTATTTCGACCCATAAGTCTATCAAGAGACTAAACTGATACTTGAGGATAGCACTATTGGCACACGATCTTACAATAACAGGGACAAATATACATAGAGCCAAGTTCCACAACTAGCTAGACGCACATCGAGAGCTTGATACTAGCAACGTTGTCTAGTTCAAGTTTTTCCTTTTTTGGGACTATTCTGTGTTACTAGGTGGTAGGTGAGAGAGTGTTAGTAATTGAGTGAACTACAATAGTTTGTAAACATTGAATTGTGGCACTTCATAACTCAATGTTGTGTACCTACCTATATCTCTTCTCTACTCTATATTACCGTAACATGATTCTTACACTGGTCAGTTTCCAACGTTGGAGCAGGAATACTACACACGCCACTAATAGTATTCATAGAGCGATACCTTGACTATAGTATTACGCACACACGCACGCGGTAAACTGTTAGATATTTTGTCAGTAATATTAGGACTAGATTTTAAAAGTGGGAGGGTGCAATCTAGTTTAAGAGCTGTAACTCGGAGTTTCACATGTATATTTCTCACACACATATTGAGCGTTGAGTTCAAGAGCGAGCTAAACTGAGTACTTGTTTATGGTTTTTGGCGATGAGTAATCAAGATTCCCTCAATCATTTTGTAGAGAGAATGCTGTTTTCGTGGCAATCCTATTTTCAATTATATGGGTTCATCTATATTTCGTACTTATGTTTAATGCACCTAATCTTGCTGTGCTTCTGTATGTCTATTAGGTATTTCTTAGGGTATCTTAGAAGAGCTCCCATCAGTAAAGGATGAGTGTTTGCCACATCTAGAAGGCTATTATTACAAATGATAAATGTGGCCTTCTATGTCTTTATTATACTAGCGCCGTAGCGTTCGCGGGATTAGATCGCATAACAACAAGCATAGCGATACATTTCACACCATGCATTTGGGTTGGCATCATACACTCACTATCACACCCACCACACACCGTTATGTCGCAATAACGAATTTTGATGTGTGACCGAGTGGCGGATGGGTACCCTTCAGCCAGAGAAAATTGGTGTGTCTCTCCATTTTGTTTGGTGACCTGCTAACAGCTACTGTACAGGGGTCTACACCCAGTAAAGACAAACATGCTAGAGCTACAAGATCATATCAGAGGTATCACTATGAATTGCTCTGTAGAAACTGACTAGCATTTGACCATGATTTCGTGTATAGAAGAAACACCACAGAAGTTCGAGGACTCAGTTGTACACAATCTAAGAGAGCAGAATCTATTAGGGAGTATGGGAGCGGAAGATTGCTCCGGAGGAATCAGTGTATGCTATAGAAGGAAGAGATCAAAAAAGGTAGGGGCATTAGGAACAAAAAAAACCTTAAAGCGGAAGCAGGCAAGCCGCGAACAAATGGAGATCCTCTATCACCAGTAGAGAGAAATGTTTCCAAATGGAGTGCTGCGTGAACGGAACAATTATTGGGCCATCAGACGGGAGTAGATCCGAATTTCAGGAAGTAATGTAAACTCGGGGAATAGCTTAGACATCATATTTAAATGAACTATAATGTAACTTTAAACAAATTTTAAAATCTTATTACTAATCACTTTGAGTTTTCCTCTATCTAATTTTACTGTTTAGTTATATTATATTTTTATTAGCAAAGACATTTGCCCTCATGTCAAACTAGATCTCGAACCAATTAAGTATATATATAATGAGTCATCGTATCTTAGTATCTTATGTCATAAAATCACAGTGTGTTACGTAAATCTCCAGGCTGTATATAACCATATTATTAACAAATAACATGTATTGGTGATCCATACTATTATAACGCTCCAATAAAATACAAATATCCAAGTGCTCTAATAAGACTCATCCCAATCTCTATATAACTTAAGCCTAAACCTGATCCGGTTCACTCAGCGAGCTTATATCAGAGAATGGCAATCATATCATATAGCAATCAGCCGCACCCTGACGGAACTTCCGAAAAAACCTAAACTCCTTAAAGATTTATTCTTTGCGACACGAGAGCACGGCGATTAACTGACTGAAACCTATTGCTGTAAAAATTATAAAAGCAGACACATAAAGAGACCACGAGAGAAAAGTAAACAAGCTAATTATGCAGTAATTTTTGAGCGTGAGCTTCTGGAAATCTCTATTACTTCTAGTAACTTGCACAAATATAGTAATAGGGCATACCTTAAAGTTTGGTGACTTATTTCTTGATTCTTAATAAATCTTGTATCACCGTTTTTGGTTTCAAACTGAAGGAGCAGACCTAAGCTATATTTTCTATCACTTAAAAAAGTCTGTAAAATAGTTGCGACACACAGCTTGGTTTATCATCCCACGCACAGATATCTTCAATAAATTAATTTTTACAATTCTGTGGAATTTTAATTTCTATTTAGTTTAAAGGATGTGTGTGTGTCGACAATTCCATTAAGAAGAAGACTCTGTCTAAAATGCTTTTAAATTTGTACATGCTATTGAGTACACTTAATATGACCTAATATTGTATATTTTATTAAATGTCACCTCGATCTATTTTACACAATATGTCTTTACACTCAAAAGAATTGATTTTACTCCCACCAGAATTTATATTATTTCTAGACTATGAGCACTTTTAGGTTGATATCTATAATACTGGCTTTAAATTCACACTCTGGTTTACTGGTATGCTTGTTAATCGAGTTTGAGTTGCCTCAAAGATAATTTTTGTGCGTTTCTTTGTTTGATAGTTAGTATCTAGAAATTATCACTTTGTGGATATCCCAGACTACACTACAAAATCTGAGATTTTATGTCCAGAAATGCCTATTGTTTGGGAGAGGACCAGCCGAGGACGATGGTGATAGACTTTCGA